TGTGGGTCATATGGTACATTCGAGTTCTTCAGATCCTTGAGGAATCGCCATACTGTTTTCATAATGGTGTGAACTAGTTTACATCCCAAACAGTTGTAAAAGTGTTCCTATTTCTCCACATCCTCTCCCCAGCACCCTGGTTTCCTGACTTTTTACAGGGGAAATTTTTTTTTTTGGGCCCATTCTAAACTGGTTGTGAGATGGTATCCTCATTGTGGTTTTGATTGGCATTCTCTGATGGCCAGTGGATATGATGAGCATTTTTCATGTATTTGTTCTGTTGGCTGTATGAATCTGTTTCCTTCTTTTGAGAAATGTCGTGTTCATTATCCTTTGCCCACTTTTTGATGGGGGTTTTGTTTTTTTCTTGTAAATTTTGTTTGGTTTTTTGTAGGTTCTGGGTATTAGCCCTTTGTCATTGAGTAGATTGCAAAAATTTTTCTCCCCATTCTGTAGGTTGCCTGTTCACTCCTGATGGTAGTTTCATTTGCCGTGCAGAAGCTTTTTAGTTAAGAGATCCCATTTGTCAATTTGGCTTTTGCTTTGCCGTTTGCTTTTGCGTGTTTTAGACATGAATGTCTTTTGGCCCTAATGGCCTGATGTCCTGAATGGGTACTACCTAGGTTTTCCTCTAGGATTTTTATTGGTATTAGGTCTAACATTTAAGTTCTTCAATCCATCTGGAATTAACTTTCATATAAGGGGAGTAAGGAAAGGATCCAGTTCAGCTTTTACTTATGGCTAGCCAATTTTCGCCAGGCACCATTTAATTAAATTAGGGAATCCTTTCCCCATGTCTTGTTTCTCTCAGGTCTTGTCAAAGATTCCAGGATGGGCTGTAGATGTGTGGTATTATTTCTGAGGACTCTGTTCTGTTCCATTGGTCTCTATCTCTGGTTTTGGTACCAGTACCATGCTTGTTTTTGGTTTCACTGGTAGCCTTGTAGTGTATGTTTGAAGTCGGTTAGCGTGATGCCTCCAGCATTCTTCGTGCCTTAGCCCCACAAGAGCTGGAGAATTACAGTGGTCACCACCAGGCCCGGCAAATTTTTTTGTATTTTTAGTAGAGTCAGGGTTTCACCGTGTTAGCTAGGATCATCTGGATCTCCTGACTTAATCATCTGCCCACCTCTGCCTCCCAAAGTGCTGGGATTACAGGCGTGAGCCACTGCGCCAGGCTTGTTACCTTCATTTTTGAGGTCAAATCCATACCATTGCCCTGAGCAAACACGACAGTATTTTCCCTTTTTTATTTTTATTTTTTGAAGCTGTACAGTTTGTGGTCTTAAATTTCAGATTTTAATCCATTTTTAGTTTATCTTTGTATGCGATGTAAGATAAGGGTTTAATTTCAATTTTCTGCTTGTGGACATTCAGTTTACCTACCACTGTTTATTGATAAGATTATCCTTTGCCACTGTGTATTCTTTTCACCTTTGTCGAAAATCAATTGACCGTACATATGTTGGTTCATTTCATGCCTCCCCATTCTGTTCCACCGATTGATATATCTAATTTAATTTTTTTTTTTTTTTTTTTTTTGCCAGTACCATACTGTTAATAACTATAGCTTTGTGGTACAGTTTGAAATCAGAGAATGTGAGACCACCGATTTTGGTTTTTGCTCATGATTGCCTTGGCCATTCGGGGTGTTTTGTTTTGTTTTGTTTTGTTTTGTTTTGTTTTGTTTTGTTTTTGTGTGTGTGTGTGTGGTATTACAACTGGCCCAACGATCCTATAAAACTGATGTTTATGATTTCTTCAGGAAAAACATAGAAATTGACCCACTCAGTCTTAAAACTTGAGAAAGTTACATTTATTTTATGTAAGTTACTTTCTCAGGAAACCAAGCATCAGAGCTCCAAGATGGTATCAAGGAACTGAAACTTACCAACAAATCACAACATCTGGACAATGAGATGCCAGATCCCTCACCCATCCTGATTGCCTGACTGACCACCTGCTGCCTGTTGACCAATTCCTCTTTCTTAACCCTAATTCCCCTATATGGTCACGTTTCTTCCCTGCTATTTAAATTCTTTATTTTAGTCCATCAAACAGATGGATTTGAGGTTTATATCCCATCTCCTTGGCTGCAGCACCCAATTAAGGCCTTCTTCCCTGGTAATAACTCATTGTCTCCACGATTGGCTGTCTATGCCCAAAGCAGCAGAACATAGACGGAATCCCTGGTGTTTTGATAACAGTTCCATATGAAATTCAAGATTGTTTTGTTCTATTTTTGTGAAAATGATATTGGAATTTTGATAGTAATAGCATTGAATCTATAGGTATCTTTATGCAGTATGAACATTTAAAGAATATTGTTTTAATTGGTGAACACAGAATATTGATCTATTTATTTGTCTTCCTCAATTTCTTTCTACAATTTTTTATAGTTTTTATTGTACGTGTTTTTCACTCCACTAGTTAAATTTGTTCGTCAGTATTTTATTGTAACTACTGTTTGTAGGATTGTTCTCTTGATTTATCTACTGAATTTTGTTGTTGTTGTTGTTGGTAGTGTATACAAATGCTTCTGATTATTGTAGGTTGATTTTGTATCCTGCAAATTTTCTGTATTTGTTTATTACTGCTAACAGGTTTGGCTGTAATTTTTTGGTTTTTAAGATATAAAATTATGTCATCAGCAAACAGCGATATTTTAACTTGTTCTTTTCCGATTTGAATGCCTTCTGTTTTTTCTTGCCGAATTGCTGAGACAAGGACTTCCAGTCCTATGCTGAATAGAAGTGGCAAATGTGAGCATTCTTGCCTTGTTCCAGATATTACAGGACAGACTTTCAATTTTTCATGTAAAGTGTAATGTGAGCTGTGGATTTCTCATATATGGCATTTATTGTGATGAGGTGCATTTCTAATATATCTAATTTGTTGAGAGTTTTGTTATGAAAGGATGTTAAATTTTGTCATATGCTTATTATATATCTAATTAAATAATATGTTTTTTGTCTTTTATTTTTTAAAACTGTGATGTATCACATTTACTGATTTATGTAGCTTGAACCATACTTGTATCTCAAGAGTAAATTCCCCTTGAGCATTGATTTTAATGTGTTGTTGATTAAATTTGCTAGTATTTAATTGAGGATTTTTACATCTATGTTCATCAAGAATATTGGTCTGTATTGTCTTTTCTTACAGTGTTCTTCTCTGACTTTGGTATCAAAGCAATGTTATCTTTGTAAAAAGAGTTTGGAATTATTCCCCATCCTTGATTTTTGGAAAGAGCTTCAGAAGAATTGGTATTAATTATTTGTTAAATTTGTGGTAGAATTCAGCCATGGAGCCATCAGGTCTTAGGCTTTTTTTAGATGGGAGATGAGTAGTTGTATTACTGACTGAATGTTCTTATAGACATTTGTCTGTTCATATATTCTAATTCTTCATGATTTAGTCTTGGTAAGTTGTCCATGTCTGGACATTTATTCACTTCCTTAAGCTTATTCAATTGGTTGATGTATAATTGTTGATGGTAATGTCTTATGATTTCTGTGTTATTAGTTGTAATATCTCATTTTTTTATTTTTTATTTTATTTATTTGTGTCTTCTTTTTCTTAATTTGTCTAGCTAAACTTATCTATTTTGCTTATCTTTTAAAAAGGTATTTTTTGTTGTACTGATCTTTTGTATTCTGTGGTCTCTATTTTACTTATTTCTATTCTGATCTTTATTATTTTCTTTCTTCTGCTACATTTGGACTTTATTATTTTGTTCTTCTAGTTGTTTGAGGTTTAATATTAGGTTGTTTATTTTAGATATTTCTTCTTTTTCATGTGATATTTATAACTATAAACTTTCTTCTTTGAACTACTTTTGCTGTACGATATAAGTTTTGGTATGTTGTGTTTTTATTTTTGTTTTTCTCAGGACATTTTTAAATTTTCTTTTTAATTTCTTTATTGAACTCTTAACTGTTCAAGAGCACGTTCATTAATTTCCATGCATTTATGAATTTTCCAAGTTCTTCCTGTTACTGATTTCTCATTTTATAACATTTCAGTTGGAAAAGATACTTAATATAAGTTTAATCTTCCTAAATTTGCTGAAGCTTGTTTTGTTCCATAATATATAATCTTTTTGTACATGGAAAGAATGCATGCTGGCTGTTGGTTGAGATATTCCATAGTCTTTAAGTCTGTTCGGTCTAAAATGTTTCAGTCCAAAATATCCTCATTAACTTTCTGTCAGAATATGTCCATTGCTGAAAATGGGGTGAGAATAAAATTTTCTATTATTACTGTACTGAAGTCTCTCTTTCTCTCTCTTCAGATCTATTAATATTTGCTTTAATATTTAGGTGTGCCCAAGGTATGTGTATCACTACAATTGTTATATCCTCTTTTTTTTTTTTTAATTTATTTATTATTATTATACTTTAAGTTGTAGGATACATGTGCATAACGTGCAGGTTTGTTACATATGTATACTTGTGCCATGTTGGTGTGCTGCACCCATCAACTCCGTCATTTACATCAGGTATAACTCCCAATGCAATCCCTCTCCCCTCCCCTCCCATGATAGCCCATATCCTCCTTAATGAATTGACCCATTTATCATTATATAATATCTTTGTCTCATGTTTCTTTTTAAATTTCCTTTTTTTCTGACATCTAATATAGTTAGTTCTATTTTTTTGTTTCCATTTGCAAGAAATAACTTTTTTCATCTCTTCACTTTCCATCTGTGTGTTGTCCATAAAGGAAGTAAGTCTCTTGTAGCTAGTGAGTGTATATTTGGATCCTGTGATTTGTTTGGTTTTGTTTTGTTTGTGTTTTTGCTATTTGGGTTTTTTTTTTTTTTTTTTTTTTTTTTTTTGAAAGCCACTGACTTTATTGATCTAAAAACACTTACAAGGACAGTGACTGTTCTGCCCCAAAAGGAGCCAAATGGTATCAAACGGACTGAAAGTGAGGGTGGGGGTGAGGGACGGGGCCCAGGAATCCATTCAGGAAAGCTGGTAACTCTTCACCAGGGAACTGGCAAGGGAAAAAGGGCGGGGGAGGCATGCAAGAGCGAGAATCCAAAAAAGTTGAAATGGTTAGGGGAGAAAACTCCCAAACGACCCTGGAGTACATCGGAGGTGAGTACGACAATAGCAATCTTTTCCTTCGTAGAGGGCAGGGGAGGAGTCCCTACTGTGCTGCAAACTCTGGATGAGGGCTGGGGATTGAGAGCTTCCCAGACAGCATCACAAGAAGGCGTCGCACCACTCTCGAAGGCATCCGAAGCAGTCGGGGGACTGCTTGGCGTTGGCGCCACACGTGTCCTTCAGCCATTCCCGGAAGAGATCTTCATCTTTCTTTAGCACCAGAAACTGGCCAAGGACAACATAGGCCTTGTCAAAGCCCCTCTCCTCCAGCTTCTTGCCTAGGACTTCACCAATCCCAGCCAGGCTCCCCGCTGGCTTCTCCCCCATGGGCTCTGCCACGAAGTCTCGGTGCTTTTGGGAGGTTGTCATCTTGATCAGGCTTAATCGGCAGCTTCAGTTCCCGTAACGGTTCCTCCCCGGGGTTTTTTTAAATAGTTTTCCTATGGTGCTGAAGATCTTGCTTTTTTATCTTAGTCACTCTATCTTTATATTGGATAATGTAATTCATTTACATTCAAAGTAATTATTAATAAGTAAAGACTCACTGTTGCCTTTTTGTTTGTTGTTTACTGGTTGTTTTACAAATGTGTTATTTCTTACTTCCTCCCTTGTTGTATTTCTTTGTGGTTTGATGTTTGTCTTTAGTTTGCTTTGAATCATTTCTATTTTCGTTTTATGATTCTGATGAATATTTTTCCTTTGTGTTTACCATGAGGCTTACATAGAAGATATGATGTTTATAATAGACTATTTCAAACAGACAACAACTTGACGTTGCATGAAACAACTCTACTCTTTTACTGTCCCTATTATCCTTTAGCATTTTGAATTTATTTTAACTCTTGTGTCCTTGCACTGTCATCTACAAATCTGAGAAGAGGACTTCCTCTACTTTCCCTTGTAAGTGTCCCTTTTCAGAGATAAACCTTTACTACTTAATTTAGTCTATTATTTAGGAAGGATCAACTAGTAGCAACTTTGGACAGGCAGAGCATATTTAGATTTCTCTAGTTGGCTGGGTGACTACCTTTGCTCTCATGTTGGTGGGCTTGTGGCTGAGCTCTGTTGACTGGTGAGACCGTTGACTAGACCGTGCTATCAGGCAGAACTGCTGGTTGGGTACTGTAATTGCTTCTGGTCAGGCCAGTAACAAGATGTATTCCCTGGCCAATTTCATGCTTTAGAATCTGCAGCTGGGCAGGACTGCAGACTGAGATCTTCAGTTAGGTGGAATCACTGCACAAGACAGACAGGGCCTGAGGCTATGTTCCTCAGAAATGCATAATTAAAATGGTCTCCCTGTTAGGGTGGAGTTTTTTGGGGGCCTTTGGCTGATTTGAATGACTAAGTTACCAAGTCTAGTATGTATAGCCCCTGTGCTTTTCCAAAATTTGTGGAGGTAGACATTTCCCTGCTTCAACAGAGTTCAGTGCACTTCTTGGCTGAGTAGAGCTACTCTTTGACTTTCTGAGTCAAATCCATCCAGGCCCTGTGCTTCTCTAACATCCACAGAGGTAGGAGATTTCCTGCATAGGTGGGCCCCTTGGGTGAGCTTTTTTGGCTGAGTGGAACTGCTGCTTGACTTCTGGGACCAAGCAGGACTAGTCCCTATTTTTATTCAAAATGCACAGAGGTAGAAGTCTCCCTGCCTGGGCAAAGTTGTTGGGCAGGATTTTTGACTGAGTGGAGCCTCGGCTTGATTCCTGGGTTGTCAAGCCAATCTATTTCCTATGGTTTTCTAAGATGAATGGAAGTGGAAGTCTTCTTTCCTGGGCATAGTTGTCTGGTGGACTTTGATGACTGAGCGAAGTCACTGCTTGATTTCCTACGTCAAGCCAGTCTAGCCCATTTGTTTCTCTGACAGGAGAGGAGATGGGTATCCTCCTATTTGTGAGAGATCATTGTGGTGGGTTTTAAGGTTGGCTGAAGAGTCTAGCAGTCTAAGAACTCAAGTTAGTTTGAACTTCCACTGTGCTTCTGAAAGCATCTAGCTTAGCTTTGCAAGTGGCTTAAAAGATTGACTGGTATCTATGATAGGGCACCATAACTATCAGAAACACAAAGATACCCCCAAGATCTGTGTGTGCTTGCTACTATTAACTCTGTCTCCTTTATTTCCTCTTGATGCTGAGTGGCGTAGCCATGCAGTTGCTCTTAGTTTGTTTTGTGAAGTGAGACTAAAGTGAGCGTCCTACAAACATCTTGGAATGCTAGAAACATTGGCTGTTTCTGGTTCTCTTTTCTCTCTGCAGAAATTGTGGACCCAGGGACATCCTCTTTGTCTGGTGTTGTGGCAACTTGGAGGAGGGGAAGAGAAGATGCAGTCAGAGTGAGACCATTTTTTTAACTCTCTAATTTGGATTTTATTCAGTTTTCCAGACCATATGCGTGTCTCGGACTTGTTTCTAAGTGTCAGGGTTTTCGAAACAACATTCTAGTCTGTGGATAGCTGCTAGTTAAACTTTCTGTGTAAAGGTTGGGAGTTTGGATCTTCCTATTCCATGATCTTGCTGACATCACTGTATACATTCTTGTGTATATATCACTTTTATGTGTGTGTGTATGTGTGTGTGGGCGCATTTGTATGTGTCTAACATTAAGGCCTGAACTTTTTAGATTTACAGTACCCAGAATGACAATGAGTTGAGAAATTCAACAAATGGCACATTGGTGCCTAAAAGAATGCCCATTTCTTCACATGAGTAAGCTTTTTATTACTAGTGATATATCCTAGCTCATTATGGAATGAGATCAATTAATTTTTCTTTGTATTTTTTTATTACTATTTCTGTAAAGATCAAAAGATTACATGCAAACTGTTATAAATCAAACATATACTAATGCTGAACATAGAATCTTAAGTCAAGTGAAACTACACTTGAAGTAAACTAGAAATTATAAACACTCATCATTTCAAAATTAATGTATAATAAAAATACAACTCTTTTGTACTAAACAATCTACTGATATTAATAGCAGAGTTCATGTTTATGGATAATTGATTTTAAAATTCTAATAAAAGCTGTGATCACAATAGTATATGTGTAACATCAATTAATATAAAATGTATTAAAATATATAAAATTATATTTTTAAAATTGGAACTATTTACATATACTGATTTAACATTGAATCTTACTAATATACTTGACCTCTAAAATGCAGCCTTCTACTCCTCAAAATAATAGATTTGACTATTTCACATTTAAAACTGATCATCACTACTTTTGGAATTATGACATAATTTTATCAATTATTATTTCTGTACAAGTATAACTATATTATATATCCTAACCACAATTTTAGTCTTTATTAAGTGGCAGATGCTATTTCTAATATAACTTTCCAGGTAAAATAAATGAAAAAATAAAACTCTGCTGAGTTTAAGAAAATATTTCTTAAAAAATCATAGAAGATAAAGGATAAAATATATCATTTGTAGCTCTTAAAATTTTCTTCTGGGTTCAAGTTACTATCGGATGTCATGTCGTTGCTCCAATTTAGCTTTATTTTCTCTTTCTCTGTATTGTTATTATATCATAACTTCATATGTTATAAAACCATACAGTACAATTGTATGGCTTCAGTCTTACGTAATTTTTTATTGTTGTAACTTGGCTCATAGAAAACAAAGAATAAAAATATGATTATACCGTATTTTATATCTACCTACATAGTACTCTTTACTGGTGCTGCCTACTGATTAATATGTGTCAATATAAACAATGATTTTAAAGTTGTACTTAAATCTGTAAACATACTTCTTTTACTGGAGACATGGAAAAATATTGCCTTTACAATAACTAACCTACTTCATGATAATGACATTGAGATCCCTCATGAATTAATCACCTGTTGTTAGGCCCAACCTCCTAACACTGTTATATTGGATTGACTACATTAATCTATTGACTTCTGAGAATCATTGTTTCTGATTAAAAAGTTAGCTGTTGATCTTACTAGGATTCCTTTGTATATGATGAGTATTTTATTTCATACTGATTTAAAGACTTTATTTTATTTTTGGCTTTCAAGAGTTTGAATATGATCTGTCGAGGTATCACTCCCTTTGCATTGATAACATGCTTGAGGATGGCTGGACTTCTTGTTTGTGCATATTGCTATTTTCCATCAAATTGGAAAAATTTCATCCATTAAACCTGTTAACAATTTGTTCCATTTTTACTCTCTTTTCTATCTATTTGGCATTCCCATTATGCATATTCAAGTTTGCTTAAAGGTGTCTCTTACTTAAGGTTCTGTTATTTTTTTAAAATGTGTGTTTCTCTGTTTTGTTTGTTTTGTTTTGTTTTGTTTTAAATTTATCATCTCTATTGCTCTGAGTATTGAGTATTTCTTCTGCCAGTTCCTATCTTCAGTTAAGCACCTGTAGTGAATTTTTCAGTCAGCTGTACTTAGTAACTACAGAAAATTAATTTTTAAAGAATATTTATGTATTTTCTAGTTGTGTAACTATCATGCTTACTTGACCTCTAAAATGCAGCCTTCTACTCCTCAAAATAATAGATTTGACTATTTCACATTTAAAACTGATCACTACTTTTGGAATTATGACATAATTTTATCAATTATTATTTCTGTACAAGTATAACTATATTATATATCCTAACCACAATTTTAGTCTTTA